AGCAGCGTGAGGGAGAAACGCCACCTCCCTTTGTGGCAACGCAGAGATGGCGGCCCGGACTCTCCCAAGCCTGCCATCTCTTTGTTTGCCTGGCAAGCTGCACTGCGATTCCATCTAATTTGGGGCTGCTCTGAAAGTGATTACTCTCCTTTTCCAGCTAATATCCAACATTCCATATTCATTTTCCTCTGGTGTATCAATTAGTATTTATATAAATGGAAATTAATTTTGTTATTTCTCTCCCATGCTTCAACCCTCTCAGCTCCTTTCTTATTCATCACTGCTGATATTTGCAAAACTGCCAAAATTAGTGTCATCTGCAAATTAGCAAGTCATATATCCCCTTTCAAAACATTAATAGGTTTGGCCGTATTTACCAACCCCGACGCACTCCCGCGGGTCACTTTATTAAAGCTCTCTCTGTGCTCCGTTCTTGCAGAGTGGTGAAGCGGGTTGAGGATTCTGAATGCAGTGAGGAAAAAGCCCAAGGTTCAGAGAGAAGAGATTCAGAAATCACAGGCCTCAAAACAGAGACAGAGGGTGCTTGGTTAAGAGGCTCTTCTGCCTTCCTACCGAGAGGAGAAGAGAAATTACACTTGCCTTGCAGTAAAAAGGTCTTTGAGCTCTACTCCAGGGCCACGTTTCCAAAGACACTGAAATAACATCTCCGCGAAAGGTCAGGAGCCAAGTTCAGCAGGAAAGACATTTACAGACAGCGTCTTTGGGGAAATCATCAGATGAAGGGGACAGTGGCTGCTTCAGCCTGGCTAGCATTCCTGCTTTCCTTCTGGTGACCACGCTCTGACCTGCTCCAGAGAACCACCCTACGCTCAGTCCACATTGTTTTGGGGTCTGATGCTCCAGGCCTGCCCAATCTGTGTTTTCCATCTCCCACCTCCCACCCTACCCACTATAGTGAACCACAGTGACTGACTTAAGAATGGACACATGAATGGACACCGACAGTCCCAGCTACTCAGGAGGCTGAGGCGGGAGGATCTCTTGAGCCAGGAGTTGGAGGCTGCAGTGAGCTGTGTTTGCACTACTGCACTCTAGCTGGGCCACAGAGTGAGACCCGGTCTCAAAAGAACGACAAGAAGAAGCAAACAAATAAACACAAAAGAGAATGGGCATAGGACTCAAGCTAGGCCCAGAGACGTAATTCTGGGATAGTTGTCGGACCTATTGGGATTCAGGAAAACAGAAGATCTCTTTCATCTGGAACTGCTGGGTAGAAAGGAGGCATAAACGAAGGTTCCAGGACGTGCCATGTGAATGGTGCCGAAGGGGAGAACGGCGGGAGACGAAAAGAAGGCAGGGAGAGGGAGACAGACACCAGGTCTTGATCGCATCATTTTCATACCGAGCGCAGCTCTGTGGAAGCTGACGACCCCTAACTTTGAGTTGCATAAGCCAGTAAGTTCCCTTTTCTGCTGCACTCTGCTTGAATTAAATTTCCATTGTTCATGCCCTGCACACACACAAGAGTCCTGACCGACTTAGGGGAGAACCAAATTGAGTAAGAAACAATGGCTGTGTTCTGGGACCTCACAGCTTCACGGGGACACCAACTCTTGCACAGAGACTTCTGATGCGAGGTGGTGTCCCAGTGAGAACCCCAAGGCAATCTGCTAGTGTGGGGGGCGCGTGGGCTCTGGATTCAAACACCTCTGCTTCCGCTCCTAGCTTCCATATGGCCGTGTGACCTTAGGGAGGTGAGTCCATCTCTCTGAGCCTCGGCTGCCTCATCTCAAGGAAAAGAGAGTGAGGAGTATTCCATCAAGATAAGGCAGAGAAAGCCCACCATGTCTGGCTGGGAGACGAAACCCAGCCTCAAACCAGGCTCTTGCCTAATGGTCGGTCGACCTTTAAAACTGCTGCTATTCCAAAGTAATTGGGAGAGGGCTTTGGAATGCAAGGGGCTATGAGAATTCCAAATAAGGCACTTTCCTCTAAGGCACTTTCTAAGAGATCATCGGCGCTTTTGGAGTCGGTGAGGGAGAGATGAATTTTCCCAGGGGATGACAGGGAAGACTCCCGGGGAGGAGAATGGGTTGCAGAAGGGCTTTAAGGGAGGGGATGTGGAGCTCACTTAGGGCACAGCTCCGACACCACTTCCCACCCCCACAAACGAAGACTTAGCCCTCTGGTGGCTGGAAGTGCTGACGGCTGGCAGCTCACCACCGAGGCTCTTGGCTTGTGACTGCCCTTGGCTGAAGAAGGTCTCCTTGCAAAAAGCCATGCCAGGCCGGGCACAGTGGCTCATGCGTGTAATCACAGCACTTTGGGAGGCTGAGGTAGGTGGATCACCTGAGGTCTGGAGTTTGAGACTGGCCTGATCAACATGGTGAGACCCTGTCCCTACTAAAACTATAAAAATTAGCCGGGCATGGTGGCGGGCACCTGTAATCCCAGCTACGTGGGAGGCTGAGGCAGGAGAATCTTTTGAACCAGGGAGGCAGAGGTTGCAGTAAGCTGAGATCATGCCAATCTACTCCAGCCTGGGCGACAGAGCAAGGCTGTGTCAAAATAAATAAATAAAAATAAAAAATAAAAAGCCATGCCCGCCCCCCCCAGGGGCAGCCCAGAGCCAGTGCCATGTTGATATAGACAGACAAGGACATGGCCCCTCACTCAACTCAAGATGACCCCAAAGGGCCATCCCAGCTTCCGAGCTCCCCACGGAGAAGGCTAAGGCCTCAAAGTGGCTGAACCGCAGGCCAGCTTCTCCCTCTGCCCAGTCCTGCCTCCCTCCCTTCCCTGACAAGCGCACACCCCAGTAAACTCCATCTAGGAGTGTGCCTAGGGAACCTAGTCAGCGACAGGCTGTCTTCAAAAGGCAGAGATGGAGCAGGGAGGCGTCTGTGGCGGAAGCGGTGGCTTGCACAGAAGCCTGCGGGTGGACTCCCGAGATGGCACGGGGAGAACAGGAAGGGCTGACACCAGGATTCCGAGAGGCTCCAGCTTCATTTTGGGGATGAGGATGGGGGAGGGGAGAGAGGGAAGCCTGACAGCATCACATCTTTGGTTCTCAGAAGATAGAGTAGAACTGGGTCACATTCACTGGCAGGAGAGAGCAGAAAGCGAGGCTGCCAGGAACCTGGTTAGCAGGGCGCAGGAGGAAGGGGTCACAGTCAGCAGTGACCTTGGGCCTCAAGATTGCCCACGGTGGGGACAGCTGGCGTGGATGCGCATGGATGAAGAGAGGGACTGGCTGGAAGGGTCCACGGAAAAAGAAGGGTGATGAACAGGCCCAGCAGAAACCCCCTGGGATTAGCTCAGAGGTCACCAACTGGCAGCCGGCTGGCCACATACATAGTATGTGTTTTCTTTGGCTCATGTGATATTTAAGACAGGAGAAAAGTCATCACCAACATTTGAGAATCTGAAGACTTCGCATAAGACTCTAGATTTCCGACTTTTTCTGAGAAGACCTGGTACCCTGGGCCCGTGTGTCCGTGCCCACCCCCGGGGCAGGGTGGCTGCAGGTTTTCTCTGCCCGTGCATCTGCTCTTCGGTGGAGGTGGAAGGGACAGCTTGAGGCACTGCACTAAGAGACACCGTGGGTCTCTTCAGGTGCTTATGTCCTCTTGTTCTGTGCTTTCTGGGTCAGGGTCATAGCTAACACATAGGCTGTCTGCATGCAAAATGCAAAAATGCCCCTCAGGGAGGGCAAAATGTAAAGAGATGCCCCTCCTCTGGAGTGGGGCGGCCCTGCTAAGGCCAGGGAGCTGAGCGCAGGCTGCTTTCAGCCTCCACTTGCCCCATGGCCTGCTGCAGTGTCCAACCCGCCCAACTGTCCAGGGAAACCCTGTGCCAAGTGGCCACCACTCCCCCTGACCCTGGAAGATCCTCCTTCCACCCGACACCACTCCAGGAGAGGTACTCACAGATTCCGTGGTAGATGCCTGGCTCTGGCGTGGTGACTTGGGGGACGAGGGGACTGGATGGGAGCTCCAGCTCTGGGACCTGCACATGGGTCGGAGGAGAAGCAGAGGAAAGGGGGGTGGTTTTAGTGATACCCACACAGCTGGCTGGCTGTTCCTCCAGACACCACTGCCCACCCTGTGCCCAGGTAAGTCCCTATGTCCCTTCCTGGATTTTCTGCCTTTGTGGAACTTGTGGGACCAGTGATACAGGCAGACCCTGACCCTCTGGGGTCTGCATCCTCGACAGCAGCTCTCACTAACAGGGGAGGAGCCTGATGCTAACAGCCAAGGTGTTTTGATTTCCTCCAACAGGGAAGGACCTAATAAATGTTTGTGTGGTGAGCTGGAGGAAGAAAGAAAGGAAAGAAGGAAAGGAAAAGGGAGGGAAGAAGAGAAGGAAGAGAGGAAGGAAGGAAGGAAGGAAAGGAGGGAGGGAGGGAAGGAGGGAGAGAAGGAGGGAGGGAAGGAGGGAGGGAAGGAGGAAAG